CTAAAAGCCCAGATAAGCATCCTGCATCCCGATCTAAAAGCCCAGATAAGCATCCTGGCTTCTTTTTATGAGAACCCAAGTTTTTATAACGAAATAGGTTTTACAGGTGATCGGTATAGAATAACATGTTCGTGCAGTTCAGTAACATTCAGGGTGAATCATGGACGATTGATCTGAATTTCAGAATGATTAGCCCATACACGATCAGAATTAATCCACAATCACAACTTCCCAGAATATTACAGTAAAAGTATTAATTCCATGCCACGTGGGTGACATAATCGTCCGTGAATTCATCCTAATACAGGGGGCGTGGCACAAAAGAGGATCGAACGAGCAGGGCGTGACATAAACATGATATAAACAATAATTTACTTAACTTACATAATTGTTTAAATAAAAATTTTAATAATCATTGTAATGATTTAAATTACAATTTAAATAATAATCTAAATAATGTGTGTTTAAAAAGCAATAGTTGTGCTGAGGAACAGAAAAATATGGAAATCAAGTCCTTTTGGCATTAGAATAAGAAAGGGGTGTAAACCCATGACATATTGTACTTGTGACATCAGCGTGATCATCGACGATTTTTCTGGGAGTGCTAATTGCACCCCTACTCATCAGATGAAAATGGTCGGGCTCTCGCACCTTGCATCCTCTGGAAGAGAAGCCTAGAGTTGCCTATCACTATAATATCACAGTATTAAGTATGATTGTACATGTGACAAATAAAACTTTGAATTATGTTAAGGTGATATACAGATTCAGCAAAAGTTCTTCTTTTTCATAGCTGTCAAACCACAGTTCCTTACACCTAAAGGCCATTGTTGTGGATTTGTTTTATTGTCACATGTGTGCCACCCACTGGGGTTGGAACTAGGGTTGGAACCGGAGTCACCAGACTGGGGACAGCTTTCTAGATGGGGCATTAGGCAAATAAGTCCAAAGGTTAGGCTTGCAGCTGAGGGAGGCGTCCGACCTCTAGCCGAGATTGTGTTGAGTAGTATAACTGCCCGAGCACGTAGAAGGAGGAGTTGTCGTTACACGCCACTTGACACAAAAAGCGCCATCATGCGCTGCTGTTGGAGACTCATTCTTCAGGAATGTTCGGAGATAATGGAAAGATGCCAAACATGCTTGTGCTTCAGGGTATTTGTTATTATCATAATTAATGAAGAATGTCATATTATGACAAATCATTCACAAAAAATTCCCATTGACTTCTGTTATCAGTCTTTAAAGATGGAGCATTATATCTCATTATATCTTATTATCTTAAGGGTAATAACTCGTGTAGTAATACCTCTGTGGTATGTCTGCATGACCGATCTGTTGGACATAATTAGTGGTGTTTTATTGTTTGTATGGGAATAATGCAGAATAATACTGTGGGCCTGGTGAAGGTACAGGCATCCCCAGGTTACCAGCTAAATCTCATCCCTTCGTCTGTCTTTAAGTTGAATTTGTAGGTAAGTCAGAAAAATAATAACACATAACAACAATAATATATAACAACAACAACAACAACAACAATAATAATAATAAAAATAATAATAATAATAATAATAATTTAAAACCTAACTAGGCCTAGGGTATTCTACTCAAGCTGATGAACCACTGAAGCTGTGCAATGTTTTTCAAGGGTGTCACAAAGCAATGCATGCCTTGGTTATTACAAATTATTATAATTAAAATACTTAATATTCAAATACATTTTTAAATATATGGCTGCAATTTCATGCCTCTGTAAAACTACGATGGTCCCTTATTAAGAATTCTTAAAACAACTGGCCCATGGTTCAAACTAAATGCCGAACTTTGGTCTAAAGGCTCTCTTCACTTAAACTAACAAGTTTATTGGTAAAATATCTTGCGGTAAAGGTTCTCAATCCTGTGACCTGTACTACGAAGCGGGGTTACTGGCTTATCGGGGTAACTTGTCGGATTTAAGGTACCCCCGTTTAAATGGACTTCATATTCGTTAACTTACATTTTGCCCAGACTACCTTAAATCCGACAATATAAGCAATGAATGTGGCGGGCTGAAAACAGCGTGGGTTGGAATGAACACGTTCCGGCGGGGGGCAGGCAGGAGAAGGATTGAAAACTACTTGACGTCGAATGTTGACAGTGACCCTTGGTGTTCAACCACCCCCTAGTGGAGCAGTAAGGCTAAACAATAGTATTAATGTTTATGCGTTTTCTAAATTAAAAAACGTAAAAGAAGCCAGTTTTTTGTTGATATTATAATATATATAATATAATACCGCATAAAAGTCAACTATATAATCAGTTTCTTTATGCTTTCTGCTTTGAACAAGAGGAATGCATTGACAAAGCAGTATACTTTTAATGTTTGTTTCGGACTATTAATTGTTCTTAACGTATTGTGCGTTATTGTGTGTATGTGTGTGTACCATTGAAGTCGAATTAAGAGAAACTATTACAGTTGTGAAATCTCACACATACTGTCGCTAAGCAGCCTAGTTGTTGCTCTTAATAAAGCGTGCAGTAAGCGTAGTAAAAGTTAGTCTATCAGTTATCCAGCCAGAATCAATTATTTAAAAACGTATAAATGTTACATTCACATAGCTGTCAAGTCTCCCGTTTTGGCCGGGAAACTACCGTATTTTACCCCTCTTTCCCGCCGTCCTCCCGTATTAGCTATTTTCCCGTAAATCTCCCGTATTATAATATATATTTTTTTTAAATCCTCTGCCTCTCTAAACTGAACTGTCAGTAGCCTCGCGAGAACTGCCACCTGCAGAAGTCTGCAGGTCATTTACATTAGCCAGGTCATAAATGCGGAGGTTAAAATGGCAATGCTGTGTGCCAAAAACAACGTTACTTTCACCTTCTGTGACGACTTCAACAAGGATACAAAGTCTGCAACAAATCTGTATAATAAGTCATTAGTGAATGCCAGAGAGCCACATGAGTGAGCATGAGAAATTAAAAGAAAATGTGTAATGAAAAAAAAATGTAAATGACAAGTGGTTATTTTAGATTTCTTGTACACCTGTCTTAAAATGTAAGGGATACTGGAGCTTGGTTGGGGGGGTGGGATGCCTCGCGGTGGGTGCCGGAAAATTTCCCTTATTTTCAAATCCAAAGCTTGACAGGTATGCATTTATTAGGTTAATTGTCCTGCCCCGATCCTCCCGTGTGCCAAGTCCCCTCACCTACCCGTGTGGAATCCCTGTGTAACCAGCTGTTTCTAGTTGTGTCTAATTAGTCTGGTGTATTTAAGTCCAGGCTCAGACAAGAACAAGCAGGCTGCAGGAAAGGAAGAGGACGTATGGACCAGGCCCTGCGAAACGTCCTATAGGCACCAATCCCTATCCTGGGGTGTGTTCCATAATGCAAGATTTCTCAGTTAACTGGAGCTAAAAGTCATGATTGTCCGATAAGAATCATTCCTACAGGACAAGCATGATTGCTAGCTTAAGTTAACCCAGCTAACTGAGAAATCTTGCTTTGTGGAACACTCCCCTGAGCTATACACTACCCTGACAACATAAATGCACAGTAGTCTCACATTTTAACTGGTTGACATATAAAGTAAACTCGGCTATAAGGTTCTGACATATAATAACTGCAACTTGCAATGGCCGTTTCACAACCGTCATTGGTCTACAATGTTCCTATTAAAGTTTGCCGGTTATGTCGCGAACTTCTTGAGATATATTTAATTATGCAGCTATGAGTGACGTTTTTTTTTTTGAAGGGCTCCTCCGAAGGCCACACCCCCACGCAGGAGCACTCGATCCGGATTGGCTGCGTCGTTGCTAAGAGGTGGCGCCGCGGAAGCTACAGCCGGTAGTACTGGTTCCGGGTTTCTCCGAAGTGCTCAAGTCCCGCATGTCAGTTCGGTGCTGAAGTGGGCGGCGATGGCTCTATTAATGGAGCATCAGTTCAGAGAGGTCCTGGAGGATCAGCAGGTGGACACTGAGTCGTTTCTGGAGGCGGTCTCGCACCTTCCGCCGTTCTTCGGTAGGGTCATTTTGCCTGGCTGGGTGCCACACCAATGGGAAAGGGGAGTCGCCGCTGATCGCCGTTTCCTTTACTTACAGATAAAGATCTATTTGCTCCCGGTGCCATAAGCATTTGTGACATCCTGCTTACAGCACTAAAGTGATGGTCGATGAGCAGCGGTCTGTTTAGTGCCCAGAATAAGCTGCGCAGAAACCATACTGTTTCCCTTGTCGGGCGGGTGTTACGCACCTGTGCTGCGGCCCGCTGCAGACGATTCGTGTTGGTTCTCAGGTCAGACGTGACATTGTGCCCATCGGCCCTGTTTGGTAGAGAAGCCTCGTACAGTATTTCAGGAAGCAAAAGTGTTTTCGATAGGGGTAGCAGTCCCGTGAGTTCTGCCTAGAACTGTCTGTAGGGCAGTAGTTTTGGGTACAAATTAGTTGATAATTGTTGTGGCGTGATCGCTTTCTTTTCTGTTTCATTTCAGTTCTGCGGTGATATTTTTGTAAACTTGTAAACCATTAAAACATCGTAGATCATATGTTCAGCGGTTATGGTTTATTTTTTGGGCGGAGTTTGATCTGCTGTTCCTATAGTTTAGTTTGAGTCTATTTCTGTAGACAGGTTGTCCTTGATCAGAATGAGTTTCATAGTACGGGTTTTACAGCGTGTAAACCGATGGTAAATCTGATTAAAGGATTTTGCTCATAAAACTGGTAATGCATTATATGCCTACCTTCGCGTAAAAGATGACTTGCATGTAACATTGTTTTTACAGTTAAACGCTAACCCCTACGGGGTATACTCCCTATCTAACACGAATCAAGGTTGAGCATCTAATTAACATGTTAATTAAACCGACTTTCCGTGGCAGTCGTGGTTGTCAACACTGCCTAATAGGTCCCCATCGTATAAGACGGCACTGTTGTACACGAAGACCTACGTTGTGTTTGGGAGTTATCATCGATCGTCACTAATGTTTATGTAGCTAAAAAGAAAATGTAAATGTGAACACACAATGTTCCTTAGAAAAAACTTGGGTGCTTTAAAAAAAAAAAAAAAAAAAAAACTCCGACTGATTGTCTCGTTTTTTGTCCTTGTTAGACTGCCTTGGCTCTAAAGTCTTCGCTCCGATCAAAGCAGACATTGCAGGAAATGTCTCTGTAAGTATGGCAACATCGTAACGATCCCCCTCCAATGCCCATCGCCCTCAAACGATGGCCTCCCTGTCGCAGAAAATCAAGGCAGTGTACAGCAGCGACCCCGGCAGATACACGACCCTGCAGCGGATTCTACAGGCTGAGAAGGAGACTCACGGCTCCGAGTGGCCCAAGGTCGGCGCCACACTAGCCTTGATGTGGCTGAAAAGGTGATATGACATGAACAGGGCGGGGAAGCCCCCCACGTTCATCCAGCCAATCAGCTCACCCAGATTTAAGCCAATGATTTATCTAGTCTAAATTAGCACTCTTGGTGAACCACATGGACCTTGTGACCATGTTACTAAGATTGTAACATTGTGTAACCAGAACCTGAAAAAAAAATCTAAATGTAAGAGAAATATTGTGGTGTTTAACAAAACTGAGTAATGCAATGAAATCACAGGACAAAAAAAAAAACAATTCCTGGCTAAGGATAGTTTTCAGTTGAAGTTGGCAGTTGGACATTATTAAAATGTGGCTGTTGGTGTCTCTGTGAGGGGCCTTCGCTTCATCCAGATCATGCTGCAGAGCCTAGCGGACAGGGAGCGCGATGAGAAGAACCCGGACCTGATCCGGGTCAATGCCACCAAGGCCTATGAGGCTGCCCTAAAGAAGTACCATGGCTGGCTGGTCCAAAAGCTCTTCACGGTCAGAGGGGGCACAGGGCATAATTTATGAACTACTTGATTGGCATAATTCTGACACAATCCCTGCATGTGTGCATATGGGTTTTTAAAATTTTAATCTGTGGTTGTTCTTCTGGTTCTCTGCTCCTTTTCTGCAGGCGGCGCTGTACGCTGCTCCTTATAGGTCCGATTTCCTGAAGGCCCTGTCTAAAGGTCAGGAAGTGGAGGAGGAGGACTGCCTGGAGCAGATCCGCCAGTTCCTGGTCAACTTCACAGCTATAGTTGACGCCATCTATGTCATGTTCACTGCTATGAACGCCGAACTGGACTACAAGGCTTGAGTCTTCCTCACCGCTTCCTGGAGATTCCTGCCACTCTGCTGGTTTATTCTTCCAATTGGTGTCTTTATACTTTCTGGTTGAGTCTCTAGTTGCATCCTCGCTTCCATTTAAAGACTCGTAATCCTGTCCCTGTCATGATCTTAGGCCTTGCAGCATATCAGATTTTTAAATTATTTTTTTGACTGATACTGTTGACGTCCAGCAGCTGGCATTCGTCCTCCTCCTGCGCAGTTTGCATCATATAAATGGTGTCTTTCCACCAGAACATTTCAGGTCACGGAGAAGCGTCCGGTGGCCATGGTCCAGTACAGCTCTGTGTAGAACTGGGGGTGTGACAAACTTTTAATTTTTATTGCTTGTTAGGTTTTTATTCCAGTGATCGTTTTATCAGATTGTATTTTGCAGTCTGCTGGAGTGACTCAGGTTAGTTCCTGGTTGGTTGTGAAATTGCAAGATGCTGCTGAGCAGCTTCTGTCGGCATCCATGGTGGCAGGAACCTATTACATTTTTCTCATGGGATGGCCTGTAATTAGTGGTAACACTGATTGTCCTTTTTTAAACTACCTGAATGCTTAATCTGCTTTGTGCTCTGATTGCCGCCTTGCCTTTGTTTATTCAGACGAGCCAGCGGAGGTTGGTTCTAACGCCAGCTGTCTGTTCTGAGGCTCCTCAGTACTTCACCACCGTGCCCAAAATTGCCCCTGATGTTGTAGATGCTCCTGTGTATGTTTGAAATCCGATGGAGCTGATTACTTGGGTTGACTGCGGTACAGTAACCCCCTTCATCTGCCGATGTTTTAGGAAGTGTGACTTTGTGAAATTTGATCTTGACTGTTAAAGTAATTCCTCCCATAGCCACCAAGCTGAAAGTGAATTTGGTTTAAGTCAGTGTGTGTTTAGTGTGAGTGGTAATAGCTTGGTAACTAGCATGCAAATTGATTCTGTTCTGGATTTTGGGTGACATTTCGCAGAAATGCTGCTGTTACATGATGTATTTGCACATCACTGTTCTGTAGGTTGGTAATAGTGTGGGAGTTGTGCAAACCCTACAATTACAGCTACAGGGCCATTGGAGGCCATGACAGACAGAAGGTTTGTCAGCTTGATGTAACTTGTCATCTTGCCCGTGGCAGATTCGGTGACCTGGGTGCAGTAGTGTTAATTTTGCCGTGTTACAGCTTCCGACAGGAGGGTAGAGCAGGAATTGGCAGAGCGAATATCTGAGCAGCTTGAAATGCTTTAATCAGATGGCTCTGCTTACAATGACATCTGACTGATGGTTTCCTTCAAACGAGAGGTTATGTGTGTGGCCACTCTCAACTGTATTTTCTTAAACTAATTTGATTTGTATCTGTGCATAAAGACTGTAAAAAAAAAAAAAAGAAAGTAATTTTTATATTAATCCTGCTGGGGGGTTTCAGTGGTTGTAACACCAGCAGATTTTCAATGATAAACTGACAGAAATTTAAAAACGAAGAGTTGCATTTGTGTTTTATATTCATTATGCGGTAACATGAGCATTAGCACAGTACAATGTTTCACTAGTACATGCGTCTCTTCCTTTCATCCACCTTTCTTCGGCTCAGGCTGTACATGATTGGACGGGGGGGGCGTGGTGTTTCCCAGGAAAACTAGGCGGGGGACTCCTTGGATTGGATAATGTTAGTAGCAAGAATTTCCATTTATGGAACGAGATCGCAGGGTGAAACTCAGCCCTCTCGCATGTCACCCATAACCCTGTAATTATACACAGTAAGGCCTGTGATGATTGTTTTTTTTTTTTTTTTTTTAGACAGTGGTGTTTCTCACAGTAACTATGCCTTATGGTTATGCCCATGGTGAGCACCACAGGCCTATAGGGGGCAGTAGTTCTCACCAACAACAGGTACAGAGAGTGGTGAGTGTAAATCTATAAAAGGAAAAATTAGGTTTATTTTAACAATATTGCCATAATGTTGTGTGACCATAGCCTTGATATATTTTTTTTTAGGTTAGAGGTCACTGTTACAGCACTTGATTGCACTTAAGAGATTCTTGAGCTACAAGTCTTAAAGTCTTAAAAATTAGTTCAGGTACCTCAAGTGTTGTATTTAATGGTGCAACAAAATGCGTGATGATTTTCAATAATTTCCTTTGTGTCAATATAACTGTCCATACCAGGCACCACCATGTCTTATCAGTATGTGAATGTTTTCCCACTTAGTTCTCCAAGCGATACAACGGTTCTATCTGCTGCTGTCATAATCACGATTATAAACGATAATCTATCACGTTTTAATAATATGCAGCGCGTCAATTTTAAAAAAGCGCGGCCGCACTATTTGAAAAAGGGACCAATGGCTGTAATTTTCACTTCCGTCCACCAGATGGAAACAAATGTACATATCAGCCTTTTCTTGGCCGCATTTACACTTTACCAATTGAAAGTACATGATGGATGAATAAGATTAAAGAACAAGCACGAAAGAAAAAGTGATGAAAGGTGTTTGCTCTGACCCTTCTCTTTTAGACTACACAGAAATTTCTAATATGCATATTAATTGATCTTTACAGGTTTTTTCAGGCATACAGCAGTAAATGTACTGAGAGCTTGATTAATTGGGGGACAGCACCAGCTGCCACATCACCCTAACCCTGTTTAAGTGTCGTACTAGGACCTCTCCTCACCTGAGCCTCTGCCCAAAGATGCTAGGACCTTTTCTCTTCATGGCTGGGTCCAATCCTCTTTGGCCAGAGTGGGTGAATATTGGGATTTATCCCCATGAGTACCGGCGATGTGGGTCGAGCTCCAGGCCATGACTGGAATGGGAGGCTGCAGTTCTTCCAGCCGGGTACGATGCACGTGAGAGCTCTGGTCTGGGTCGCACGCAGACTAGGGAGCACTGTGACTCATTTGGATTACCACGTGTCCTTCCTCCCCACTGCTGGTGTAATCTGACAGGAACAGGACAGCAGAATTGCTCTCACTGCAACCCCCCCCCACCCCCCACCCCCCCTAAAATCTCTCCCAACCCACAGGTAAACAATTACATAAGGAATAACTGCAGTAGTGAGGATTATCATGATGGATGGGATTGGGACCTTCCCGTACAGGCATGCAGTGCCTAGAATTTGATTGTTGTGTCTGTGTAGCCCAGCATCCCCATGAGAAATGTCCTCTAGCAGGATATTTTGGTTCAGTCTACAGGGTTGGAGCAGCAAGGGTATCAGTAGATTGAGGTGGAGGGTTGGGAACAGGAGAGAGTGAAACAAGCCTGCAGATGTGCTGAAAAGCCCAAAAACTCAAGAAGCCAAAGGCGTGACGTGGTGTCGTCGGAGGTGACCCCACTCCTTGAGAAACCCTGCTTTGAGCGGCTCGTTTAAAGACCTTGTCTGCCGTGCGGATCCAGAGGAAAGGGGCACCTCAGCAAAAGAGGCACGGACCCCAAGGCTGGGAGTGTGGCAAAGGCTTCGTGGGCTTGGTCCACTTCAACGAAAACTTCAAAGTTACGGTGCCCCCTAGCTTCTGGCAGACCATTCCAGGCTTCTATATTTGAGAGGAGCAAAAATAAATACATTAAAAATAACAGTTCTCGTGTTATCTTGTGCCGGCTGCAACAGTGAGAGAGAAATTCCTCAAAGCCAGATCTGACCTTGTCCATGAGTGTTTTCACCCGCTCCAGTTCATATGAAAAGGTCAACTTTGTGCTAGATTTTGGCACTAAAAAGCCATAACAGAAGATGTAAATGGTCTACAGACCTCATGCTCAAGCTTTAATGAACTGGGGATTGATATTATTCCTCTTAAGGTCTAAGGCTAGCTGGGAAGAGGACATCTTGGAGGGTGGGAAACAATGACACTCTCAAAGCCCCACAGAGAACCTCAGCTAGTGGCTCACAATCCTGTTCTTGGCAACCCAGAATGTCTTCATTCCAACCCTACCTTATATGGTCCTTAATAGGATAATAATGAATTTAGCAGGTTGAAAGCAGTGTGGGTTGGAATAAAAACATTCGACAAACGTGGACAGGTCACGTGAGACAGCAGGATGCCAGGTTTCCTTGTCAGCATGCAGTGATGAAACATGGGGACAGTCCAAACAAAAGCAGAATCACAGTGTCCCCACCTTACGCAGGGACCTGTCCCTCACCACTCTGGTCACGTGTGCCACCCTTACCTAACCACAGCAGTAAGACGGACGGCTGTTCACTGCCCTGAGTGACACTCAGCTGGTAAGTACTGGATTTCCAATCGATGAGGACAATCATTGCAAACCAGACGGGATCTATATGTCCTAGAGCCAAGCTATCCTTTTCTTAACCTTGAAAATTCATGTTTGAACAAAAAGAAATATGCTGCTTGCTCACCATGCCCCCTGCTGGCACACAATTGAAAACACCATTACAAGATTATTTATACCAGTTCCTGGCATTAAAAATCAGGCCAGCAGCAAAATCACCAAATGAAAGAGTTTATGTTTTTTTTTTTTTAATTTTATTATAGTTATTATGCTCTCAAAATTATTGTTTGCACTCATTGAAGGACAATAAAAAGAGATTTTCAGGGATCAAATACGGGGGTGCAAATGCAATGCCTTCAATATAGAATAGTCTTTCAATCCATTTTATTTTCCCACACCCTCCAAAACAACCTATATTGGTATTCAGCAATTGTTACTGTAGTGACCCATTCGTACAGAATTGCCATAGCTACAAACCTCAAGGCCTGCAGCTTCACATCAGCCACACAATAATAGTAATTACTGAAAAATACAAAACAGAAACAAAAATCACATTAAATAAACATACCACTGACAAATAAATACTTTCCCCTTTAGCAGCTAATGAATTCTGTATGCCTAGCAGATGTAGAGTGAATAATCTTCAAGTTTGCATTTTCTCAAAACAAGCAGTGTTCAGCCCAGCCATCTGCTTCCAGTCTGCTTCCCGTGGTCACGGTCCTGAGTGGGTGGGGCATGTTCTCCATACCTGCGTCTCCGGTCAGCTTTCAATCCTGTTCTATACACGCCCCACAGACCAGAGCTCCAGGTCACAGAGAACACCTTAGTGGAGTTTTGGGAGCAGACTTGGCTGAGCTCCTCGAGTCGAGCCCTTTAATGTCCAAAAAAAATTCCATTAAAAATAAAGGACAAAAAGATGCTAAACCTGAACAGAAACTACCTTTGCAGGACACTGGCTGGAACAGCACAGTGACCAATCAGAAAACATCAGGGCTTTTCTACACCTGCCCTACATACTCCAGTTTCCCAGTACAGCTCGGTTTCCATCAGAACCCACTGGAAACACCCCCACATTAATACAGGCACACACAGATCTAGGTTTGCTCATGCTAAAGGTTCCCACCTTTAGATACAGGCTAGATAGAGGCTAGAGAGAACCCGGTTCTCATCTGTAGACAGGTAGCCGGATGTGTGCCTGCTGGTGGTCCAGCAGCCTGGGCACGCCCACAGTCTCGTACCCTTTCCCCAGCATCTGCTCCTTAATGCAGGGCGGGCGGATGCCACTGATCAGGAACTCCAGCGACTGAAGGCTGCTACTGAGGGTGGAGCCAACACACAGGCCTTTGGTGGGCAGGGAGCAGCACGGACCCCCGCTGCAGCCCGCAGGGGCGTGGAGGGGCAGGGCCTGCTCCCGGGCTCCGCCCACACCACCCCCTGCTAGCTCCTGGGGATTGTAGCAGTCGCTGTCAGGAGTCGCCAGCACGCTGTTCCAGGGCGGCGGGAAGTACTGGCCCACTGAGAAGTTCCCGTGCATAGCGGTGCAGTTCAAAGGGGAGGAGCTTAGCCGGTCCAACCCACCCCCAGTGATAGCCCCACCCCCAATCAGATAAGGCCTGGTAGAGCCCTGGGTCCCACCCCCAGGAATACACGTTTTTGGGGACCGACTTATGGTCCCACCCCCTCCACTGCCTGTGCTGTACATCCGTAGTGCCACCTGCTGCTGCTGTTTCTGCTGCCACAGGATATAATCAATACTGTCCACGTAAGCCCCAGCCTTTGCCATCTCCGCACCCTGAGCGGGCAGCACTGCCCCTGTGAATGCCAGGCCGTCCTGGGGGCCCTCACCCACGGCGAAGCCCACAGGAGGGACGCTGGGCCGAGCCACGGCCGCCACGGCAGCGATCTGCAGGGAGGGGCTGGCGCTCGCCCCTCTGGCTGCCAACACCCCAGGACCTGGGGCCTGGGACTGGCAGTGTTGGTTGATCTGGTAGATGAAGTTCTGGATGGGAGGGAGACCGGACTGGCTGGGCGGAGCTAATCCTCGGCCCCCCGGGACAGGCACCTCCAGGGGCTTCTGGGGCGCCGGCGGGTAGCCCGTGTGCCTGTGGCGGTGTGTCGCGGTAGCATTGCCGGGCAGTGGGTACGGTGCCACAGCGACTTGTACTGGGGAGACTTTAGTCCGCCTGCCCTCCGGGTTTTTGAGCACGCCTTTGGCTGCAGGGGCGGGGTTGAGTTTAGCGATAGCCAGCAGCCCCCGGTACCCCCCCGAGTGGAAGTGTGCGTAGGAGCCATAGCGGAGGCCTGAGGTGTCGAAGCCATTGACAGACCGACTGAGATGCTTGTGCTGTGGAACCCGCACATTGGTGGGGTAGATCTTGATGGACAGGGGGCTGTCCGAGGTCTTCTGGGCGTAGGCATCCAGCTCTGCTGGGCTGGGATACCTCCTCGAGTTGGCCAGGGCAGCCTGCTCACCTGAAACGAACCAGAGACACACACTGAGGTCAGCTACCCAGGTTGTGGGTTAAGATCCCAGGTCCCTGAGAGCAATTGAATCACCATTGGGCCCTAGACCAAGGACTTTAACCCCAAATGTTCCCAGGTCTCCTCCATTCTTTCTCGCTCACACGCTCTACTTTGATTAGCCTTACATATGCTTCTTTTTTTTTAAAAAAAAAAATAAAAATCTTGTTTCCAAGGAGACCCTTCAGACATATCATATTAATTTCTAGCCCTTTTTTTCTTTTTCATAAGCAAATGGAGTTACCACTGACATCTACTCATCTGTAAAAAAAGAAAAGAAAACTGTTTAGCTTGGGTCCAGTATTTACACACACCTCTCATTCATTAGCATGTTGCGAAGTAAAAGAAAAAAAAGAAGAAAAAAACAAACATAAAATACAAAGTGTGGAGATGTTACCATGGCAATTTTAAATGGACTATAGCAGTCATTCAGCGGTACAGTCCAACAGGTCACGGTTCCATTGGGCTGAGAACACCAGACCACCCAGGTAACCACAGAGTGCAGGTCTGCAGGAACAAAACTTGATTCTGCTGCGACAGGCACAGGCCCAATCGGACCTTATTTAAAGGAACTGGAGCTTAACCCCCTCCCCCCCGTATCAACTCCCAGGGGTCTGACACTGACTGCAGGGGTGGGTGTGCACAGAGATTGGATTCGAGCACCATCATTCAGGCAATTTCACGGCTGCTTAGCTCACGGCAACAAAGGAAAGATTTGGTGGGGGGGGGGGCATTCGTGAGGTGATGTATCAAGTGACAGGAAGTAACGACACACTCTAAATTGACACTTTGCGTGCTACAGTGACCAGAAACCTGGCGGAATTATGCTGAAGAATTCAGGAGGTGCAGACATAAACACTGCATGTGATTCCTTGGCAGGGAGGGGCTCTAAACTAGCAGACCTTTAAATCCCTAAACGACAAGAAATGGGCAGCTGGTCAGCGACCGAGTCGCACTTTCCTCCGTCGCCCTGAGCCTCAGGCCAAGCAGACAGGGTGCAGTGTGCAGTGTGCAGTGTGCACTCTCCTCACTGCACACTGTGTGACTCATTGATAGATGTGGGGACACCTGTAGACCACCTGGACCTGCTAGTCAACTCATCCACTCACCAGGAGAGCACACCCCAGACCTAGAAGCAGAAACAAACAAGCTAGTCTGTGTGTGTCTGTCTCTCTTGTTCTCTCTCTGTCTCACACACAAACACACAAACACAAACACACACACACACACACACACAGAAATATATCCCAAAAGAAATAGGGACATTAATCATGGAATATTAACCCAGAGTATTTATTAGTGTTACAATTAATTAATTTTATGTAATTAATTTATCAGTAGTAAGTCGTTCTGACCACAACATTGTGTGGAAATTTTAAAAACTACATAAAAGCCCAGAAAGAACAACTAAAAATTAATCACGAGACTGTAATCAAGGACAACTTCAATGTCAGTCACCAGCACTGAGAAACCTCCACAATGGCTTTATCACCCCTCATTACCTCAGAGGTCACATCCATTCCTCAGCCCAAACAGCAGCGCCTGAAGCCAGCCTTTTCTCCCATCTCCTCTCTCATGGCTCTGAAAATATCACACCGAGTATTTTGGCAGATGAAGGAAGCTTACGTATTACTGCACTGCTCAACGCAAAGTAGAAAAAAAACTAATTTAGGGTATTTTTAACTAGGAAAACTACCTAATGGGCTTCGGGAAAAAGGAAGCCCCCCCAACACTGCTTTTCTCCATCCCATGTGACCAGGAGCACCTTTGCGGCCTCGATCTTCTGCAGACTCCCGCCTTCATAAAGAGGCCCAGGGGCCAAGATCCCAGCGCCCTTCTGCAGGCCTCCAGTGACAAACGTGTTCCTCCAGGTTCCTCGGGGCTGAGCACTGCAGTATACCTCGCAGATTTACGTGTGGACCCCAATGCAGACAAACTTTCTGGAGGTTGGTCATAAGCCTGCATGCTCTCGTTCCATTGCTGTGAATCCTAGCCTCTTTCTGATGTGAACCAAGCTCTCTGACAGCAAAAAAACAACAAACACGCTCCTTTGAACTGGCTAAAAAAAACACATGGCCTATCAGAGTCGAGGGATCAATTTAACCCCCACCATGGTGATGTAAACGACACCGCCCACCCCCCCACCCTGTAAGCTTCTCCTCAATGCAACATGGGCCATCCCCTGGCTGAGACAATGGGCTACAGTCAATTAGCACTGGCCTAATTAGCTGGTAACGAACCCTCAATCATAATGAGTGTGTCGTGTCGCTGGCACGTCTCCGGCGAAACACGTGCGTGTTCCCACGTCTGCGGACGTCAGCGAGCGAGCAGCTACTGGGGAGAAAGAGAGGCCAGCTAATTAGGGAGGACAGGAAAAGATCGAAGGAGCCCACAAATCGGCCAGTCACTTAACAAGCAGAGCTCCCACGCCGGCGAGCGACCTTGAAAGGATGTTAATTAGGCGTCACACAGGAAACTCTGACCGCTGGGAAGGTCTCCTTAAACGGCACGGAGTGATTAGCCACGACGGAAAGCTAGCTAATCTGTTTTCCTACCCAATGCTGAAGCCTCGGCCCCCTCAGAGCAAAGTAGGACCATTTTCCGGCTCATTGTTACACAGCTAGTCAAGCTAATCTCTCATTAGCGGTCTAAACGGGAGCCCCTTGGCCTCATTTAAAAATAGAATCAGACTTTTGAAGATTCAATGGCATGCCATGCCTGAAGGCCCCCCTCCCGGCATCGAAGGGCCAAACCGGGTGCCTCAAAACGTCTGATGGCGCAGCGTCTTGCAACCGGTTCATCTGCAGTCCACCTGGAGCAGGCGGCCGAGCCCACGAGCCCTTCCTGTATAATACACTCGCTCCTGGCAAACGTAAGTCAGGCTAACCTCTCAATAACCCAACCCGAACAACGCCAGACTGCTGCCTCCTGACACAAGACCAGTACTAGAGACCAGCGCACCCCACCTGGTAACACCCTCGACGAAAAGTTGATGTGTTGGTGTCGGGGGTTTAACTGGAAAACATCATTCTGGCATTACAGGTGTATCCCTGAAGTCATAGCAGTGTGCCCTACCTGCCGAAAACCAGCTTTACTAGACAACTAGAATAGGTGGGACCACGACATCTGATTGGGTGGTCTCACCTCTTCCAGTTGCTTAGACCCGCCTCCTCTACAATCTGATAGATTCTTTCTGAGTCAATTGTTTTTCCTTCTGCCCTTAGAACTTTTTTTTTTTGTGTAAGTAAAACTGCCATGAGCCCCCACCACCTCAAAAAAAGCTTCAACCACTTCTTTTTAACCCCTAAGAGAGAAACTGGATAGGATATGAGTAAAAAGGAATCCCTCCCCATCTTCAAATGGGTTAATAAATAGGTTACCGCTATTTGGAACAGGGCAGTTGGGGGACAGGGCTTGCAGAGAGCTTCCCAATGCAGAGCCATGATGAAGCGACGAGGCCTCTGTCCTGAGCCCATGGTCACTCATTTCCTCTCTCTTTTGGTCCCTCTACCCATCTTCTTAATTCATTACTAAATTAAAAATGCAGCAGTTACACAGCGGTATACCTGCCTTAAAATAACGATCTTACACACTTTGGAGAATGAGTCCCAAAGGTATACGATGACTCACAGGCTATTCCTCGCATCTTCTAAATCCGCTACTCATCTCCTGTGGAAGACCGGCTCGGCCTCCGCAGGCCTCCGTCCCCGTAGGAGACCTTCCCACTCTGTCATATAAACCAAGACTCACCGCTACGGCCAGCTCTACGCTGAAGACACATAACCTGCTTTGGGGCCCTCGTTGGTTTTGCTTTCCTCGCATCCAGCCAGGTTCCCAGCCTCCCCGTGAAGATAAACAAAGGGGGTCGTCTTGACTGATGGAGGTCAGCCGAAAAACAGGAAAGGACTGATGTTCTGGCAAACCCAAAACGGTGCTCAGCAACTGCCGGACGCTTTGTGGAAGTGTATCCAGCGGCCCACGGCATCATGGGAACCAAAAGTTTTCTTTGGGTCTGGGCTTTATCCCGGCTCAGGACCGTGACGAGAGATCACAGCTCTCATCCATTATCTCGCTGATAACGACGTGACAGGGACGTCCCTGACAGTCAGGGGTTACCCATAATTGCTGAAAGCTTTCTGCAATCCAAACTAACACAAGTTACACAGGCGCGGCGAGGAAACACGTAACACGTAACGGTTAGAGTGATTCATGTGAACGTGTGTACAACCAGATGTTTAAAAAAAGACATGATACATTTAAACACTGCAATTAGACTTAGACTGGCACAGTGCATTCTCCCTGGGGAGGGCGGGGGGTGGTCAAAAGTCTTGCTATAAAAATATTCTAAGAGGTCCTGAAAGAGCTCGGAAAGTCTTGATACTCAAGTGGAACTGGCTTGGTTAATACCCAGCTGTGTAAACGTGCAGGAATAGCAAAACTGTAAGCTATGCAACTCTGGTTAAAGGCATCTGCTCAGAAAATAAACAGACATTAAAAAGAGAGAGAGAGGTATTCAAAATAAAAACAATCAATCAGTTCTTTATTCAGATGATGTGGGGGGGGGGGATAGCAAGGGGGCTTGGAAGCGAGGGCATTTAAAAGGAGCCAGCACGGGGGGGCGAGGAGCAATGCTGTGCATTGTGGGTAAGCTGGGTTGGGGGAACAGGTACATGGGGGAGGGGAAGGTGCCCACGGGCTGCCTGAGGCAAGTTGGGGCCTCCTGGCTCCAGTGTTTATGAGACAAGTCCTCCAGTGATTCCAGTTAATATTTAAAACTGCACAAACATCGCGGGGAAGGGGGCAACACAAGCCTGCTGTAAAGCAGAAACTGCTTCGATCTGTTACAGCACAGCTAGACGAGACAAAGGGACGGCTTGGGCCCAGCTTCCCGCACAGGCAGCTGTAGCCAGAGAGACACAGTTAATCAAAACATCCAATTGTTTGCTAAATATGCCTCACAATCAAATTAATCCCTTTTTTTTCCCAAAGAAACCAGAAACAGCTTTTTTTTGTCCCGGCAACGCTAACCAAGCAGAACGCTCCTGGACCGGACCCTGCCGTGCGTTCAGAGGCGGGCAGGGAAGGTGATTCAAAGTCAACACTCAATTAAAAAAAAAAAAACCTTTTGCTAAAAACTTGAAAAATAGACCAAAAATTTAAATGCGGCCCCTCAGCAGTCCAACAGAAATGCCCTGTGAAGGATTTACCTCCCACTTATCCACTGGATGGTTGTCCTGCTCAGGCTCACTTTCACTTTCATGCACTGTAGAGTCATTCACAGGAAATCCTTTCATTTCGGCCAACGTGCACGTCCGTCCTGGGCTTCATATTAAAGCGTCACTCTGCGTGGAGGCTGGCAGACATACTGCCCCCCCCTGGCCACCATGAGATCTGACCATAAAGGGCCGCGTTCAGGGTCACAGGAGCCCGGCTGTGATCAGGCACGTTCCTCCTCGCGTGGATCTGTGTGGCTAATCCACCGAAATACTTCACAGGGCAGGGAGTCAATGGCTTTTAAACACCCCCCCCCCCTCCATCATCGAGTGCACCATGACAATAGAAAGTCCCCCCCCCGCCCCAGCCTCTCTATCTCCACCAGCTAAGCCCTCTCATGTGAAAATCGATTGTGTGCCACGCAAGCCCAAGGTCTTCTGCCTGACCGGGGTGGGAGCGGGGTGGGGGGGGGTTAGGACGTTAATCCCTTTTGTCATTGATGGTCTGGCTGCTGTCTTCTCCAACCCACCCTTTAAAGCCTGCCATGCTCTTTCCTGGGGATGCCATACCCACGCCCCAGTCCCCCACCCACAAGGAGACAGGCACAGTCTGGCTTCTGCTCCACGCTCCCAGATCCCGACACTGTCTGCCCCCAAAAATATAAAACCAGGGAGCAAGTGAACCTTAAACAGAGCTTCAACAGGCTCTCGTCCGGGGCATGAAAGCCGGGATGCTGAAGGCCTGCAGGGGGCGTCCCAAGGCATCCACAGAAGATCATTTCGTCAGTCGGTGACGGGGTACAAAGAGGAGGTCTTACATTTCCTGCTGACAGGGGGTGGGGCTTCCAGGCTCCTGCTGCCACAAGGCAGCCGCTGCTCCGCGGGGTTCTGCCTCCTCTGCAAGCAGGCCAACATGTCGCACCAGTGGAGGTCTACAGCCAGGGGGCGCTCCGTCGCATCTGTCGGATCACAGAGAGCAAGGAATAAAATTTGGTGATCATGCTATGTCGTCCTCGAACCTTCATCTTTTGGTGAACTCATCTCAGACTGATGTCACACTTATAACACACTGGAAAAAGTACCAAGGCACCTTTTGACCGTCCATTAAATGGTTGCCTGATCTACCTCTGGGCAGGGCCTCGTAAACAGGGTAAACATCCACCCAGTACTCAGCTTTTTCCCTCTTGAACCACCAATTCGCTATGATCGATTGGGGGTGGGGGGGGGGGAGGTTTCAGCCGCTGCAGGCAGGGAGAGGGTATGGTGTAGCACCACACTGTCAGTCCCTGGAAAATGTGGGTAGCCTGGGATGAATGAGTGATGAGTGTGCGTGTGTGGGTGTGTGTGGTGTGTGTGTGTGTGTTTGCACGTGCCGGGTGGTTAGTGCCAATGGTGCACGAGGGCTGGTGACAGGACTAATCAATCTCCCAGCATGCACTGCCATAAATCTCGCCGCCTTCCTCCCCAGCGCTGCCTCGTAGGGGGGCCTCTGGCAGAGGCGGGCAGGCGGAAAGCTGACGGGGGGGGGGGGGGGGCAGCCAGTCCCCCGCTGAGCAGAAACACGAGTGTGAGGAGAACAGAAACAGCAAACACTGAGCAAAGTGTGCCACGTCTGAAATTACATAACAAAGCCTCTCAAAGATTTGCATGAAACTGGATTAACCTTCTGAAAATAAAACTCTGCTTGCCAGTGAACCTGCCTTAACCCCCAGACTAAAGCTCCCACAATGTCGCGCTATAAAACATACAGTCTTCCCACCTGTTCCCAATAAACTACATATTTCATAAAACACAGTGAAACAGACACTCTCTATTTTGCCAGATGGTGTTGAGGAAATTTCCAATCTCTTGTTTCTTAGTACAACATCAGAGCACTTTTGTTGGGATACATTAGACAGGGAAGTGTTGAAATACACAGGCTACGGCACTTACTGTACCTTTCAGCAGACCAATGGAAACAGCTCCACATAAATGTACGATACAAACTGAACTGTTAATAACAAGCCATCTATTAATAATATAATCAAATAGTGATCCGAGACCCCCACCCCCATTCAGGTGGGTGGGGCCGTTATTCAACCTCACAGCCTGAAACCTCTCAGCTTGTGGGCAAAACCACCAGCTGGACTTTAACATCCACACCTCCCCACCTCCTGTTCTCATCGGTCTCTCTCAGCCCCCACCCCCACTTGTCGGCAGTCTGGGGAGGAGGGGTGGGTGTCACTGACCCCCATCCCCAGATGTGACGCACAGCGGACTAACCGGATTTCTGCCAGCTCCACCTTGTTATTTGGTCCCGTCTTCTTCAGCCAGTCGATCAGGAATTCCCGGCACCAGCTCTGAGCAATCAGAGTATGGATTTAACATTTTAAAAATAAAAGCAGAATTAATAATTATGCTGCTTCACTCGACTGTGCTTGGCTATGTCCTTCATTGGATGCTTATATCTTTAAAATGATGTAATTCAAAGACAAATATATAGAAGGGCAGCCCATAATGGACAGGAATGCTGACCCTAATAATCCGATCAATCGTACACATGGGAGCTCCAGGGCAGGACGACATCCCATTCCAGAGTGCAGCCACAAAAGTGCCCCCCCCCCCCAAACAGCCTCATCACCATCAACAGGCTCACGGGGCGCAATTCTCTGGCCCAAATCGCGCCGACACGCCTCTCTTAGTGGGCCGTCCGGCTGCGGCGACGAGAAAGAGCGGGGCTGGGGGGAAAAGCAGGCGCCGCGCTGGAGAGGGTGGGAGGAACAGACAATGGTGAGAAAACTCTTTTATTACTCGCCATTTTCCCCTACATAAAGTGCATTATAAAGTCACTCCTTTGTTCCGTTTGAAAAACCAATTTTCATCAATTTTCCCCTTTTTTTTGAAAGGCAGTGAGACCAAAAAAGCGAAGAGAGAGCGTGCAAGAGAGAGAGAGAGCAAGCCTGAGACAGAGTGAGAGAGAGAGAGAGACAGAGAGCACTCGCATTGGCAGATATCTGTTAAAGGACAAAATAGTCCTCTTCATCCTTCCATCAAAGTGAATTTCTGTGCTCACATCTAAACCACTGAGGTCCTGTTAACAACACTGCCAGCCATGTTCCTCACTGCACAGGACACCTAAACAGCCAGGTCCAAACTCACAGTAACTCATTTTAAGTTTTTTAACATTAATCATTTCATGTTTAATCACGGTCATCAGTTCAGGCCCCCAAAATGCCAGCATCCCCTTCAGCAGATGTTTACTTTTAATGATCTGCTGATGTAATCTTCTGTGCCCTGAAAGCTCACCACTCCCTCTGCCCCCAAACCGGGCCGTTTCAGTATATGCTGATCCCGTTCGGTGGGGGGGCACGGCAGCACCGGTATCCATCAGACGGACTGCTGAGCACGAGAAAAGCGCAAAGCTGAAAACTCAGCCCTAACGCCTGTAGACCTTATCGGCGGGTTTCAGAAATTAGAGCCACGTTTGGACGCGTTCTGGGCAGATATGTGCGGCCACTGCTTGGGGAAAGCTGACAGGCGCTAAACTCCGAGACAGGAGGGAGGAAAAAGACGACAGAAAATGAACTCGGGGCAGGCGGAGACAGGAGGGCCCGCAACATCACAGAGATAATGTGCTTAATCGAGCCCACAGACTCGCACCAGACACTCATTTACACTCCACCCCCCCCGTTTCAATCTCTCTGCAGTTCTAGCATCTACATTAGGCTCCCATATCTCTGCCCTTGGCCACAGCATCACAGCCGCACTGGCCTGGCATCACTGAATGATCTGAAAAATGGACACTAAATCGCTGTCGATTCCCGGGACGCCGGCGGGCCGATAAGACTGCTTTGGTGACACGCTTCAGTGCAGGACCGCCGGACAGATAACAGCCGTGCATGCTGGGATTGATCTTTTGTTTCAAGGATTTCTTTTTGATAAGGCTGCTTTGACGGGCAAAAATCCACCCCCCTGCCTAAATTCGTCTTTTGAAGTGTGGGGGGGGGGCAGATTAAAAGGAGTCTAATTTTAGGAATGGCAGGGCTGTCTGGCCATTCTCCTCCCATGTTTGTCTGCCAGCTCTCCCATGAAAGCGGCAAGGTGGCCCCCACCAAGCAGGGAGGTGGCCCCCGCCAGACGGCCACACGCCACTCAGACCTTGCGCTTTTTATTCAGCATTAATCTGCCTTCTTCCGTTTCTTGAGTGCTGCATTTTTTTTTTAATTCTAACCGCAATCCTCCTGCCACTGCAAGCATTACATGAAGGTGAAACCCCCACTTAAAACATCCCGTAAGCCCCTAAAAGTGGAAGTGGACTAGGTCAATATTATTACCATTACTGCCTGTATAACCATCATTTTACATAATCGATCAAGGCACTGCGATGTCCAAAGAGGACGATTACAGGCATATTTAAATGTTTATCTTCCTTACAAAGTAAGAACTCAAACTCAAGGCCAAGCAGAGACAGGGGTCTGGGGAAGGACTGAGCAGAAAATGAGGATTAGATTAGACATGTTCACTTCCTGTGAGCAATACAGACGTGAAGACGATTATGATATAGTAGTAATGACAAACCCAGATCCATCATCCTCTACAGGCCCGTAAGCGACCAGCAGTCAGCCTGCTTTTAAAAAGCCACCGGCTAAAGACTGTAGATTACAGTCACGTTAAACCTGCCCCCGTTTCTCAAACCACAAACCCACCCTGGCCTCTGGCAAATTAAGCCACTATTCATAGGAATGGAAAAGTAAGGAGTAGGGTGAGGTCTGTCCCCTGTGTGTCAACACGCAGCACTAGCTGGCCTCGGTAATTAGCGGCGATGGAGTCGTTCTCCCCCTCCGTCGGACGCGGCACGGGAGATTACGTCCCTTATAATACAGTTGTGTATAAATGCAAATGACGGGAGAGAGGCTGGCTCTCTAACGCTGACAGCCTGCCGATGGCGGTAATGAAAACGCAAACGCACACACTCACGTCGCCGCTAACACAGAGTGACGGGGTGTAATATCACCCTGCTCCCCTCCCCCCTCCCCCCATCACACAATAACCCCAAGTCTGATCTTCGGGTAATCACCAAATGTTAATTTGAAATCCAATTTTTTTAGCATAAATGCAGCATTAATGGTGGGGGTACACAGCATCTGTTCCTCCCTTGCCCCCCCTGCTGTCGTATGCAAGCCAGGAGGCAGGGCTACTCTAATACGGAGGACACTGGGAGGGGTGGGGGCCATTCGGGACACTGCACAGTCTGGGGCTACCTTGCGTGTCCTGATTAGACACTGATGGGCGCGTCCCAGAATTAACTGAAAGCAGATTAGCCTGTTACTCAGCACCATTTGTGGGTTAAGTGCTTCCCTCAGAATCCATCTGAGGCCTGGGAGGGCTCCATCTCAGGGCTGGTACCAAGCTCAACATGTTACAGGGGATTCTGGGAAAGCTCCTGAGTTTCTGGCTCCTGAAAGCTGGACACCACAGACTGAAAGCGTTTGTTTCACTTCGCGTCTCTAGGGGCTCGACATTCTGCTTGAAGCCTGCTCTCTGAAGCTCCAGGTGACGTAGGGCTCCGATCCCACCCACCCACGAGCTAGTGTTCGAACCTCTGCGGCCCGATGTTCCCAGGTTCTCCAGCCTTCCAGTTACACCACTGAGCGTAGATATTATGCATAGAAATACGGAGGAGAAAACAGAGGGCAACTTTTCAAAGGAACCAGAGCAGGCTGAAAAAAACCGATACGAGCGCACAGCGGAGAGGTAGAGGGTGAGGCAAGGAGCGGAGAACCTGGCAGGGACCCAGACTGCGAGGCCAGGCCCAGAATCCAAAATCCGCAGCATTCAGTGGGACGAGCCTAGCACCAGGCTCCAGGGAAATACACGGGAACAATGCCGGCAAGAAAGTGGATCACTGTGGCTTAGCCATCAGTAACCCGGCAAGCCACACTGTGGTTCCTTGGGCCGCGAAGGCCCACCCCCTCCTGAGTGAGCAGGATCCGTCCCCCCACCGCAGATCCGGAGGAGGCACAGAGGTAGGATATGGCGTTTGACGGACACCGACTTCCAATTTCCCCAGCAAAGCTGCTCTTATGCATTTTTAATGGAATCTATTACTTTGGGATTTAATGGGGGGGCAGGGGGGAGCCCCAGCCTGTTTATAAATCTTTAATAGTTTGCATAATTGGTATTAGAGCGGAGCACGAGAGAAGCCCGGGTCTTATCAGACATGTGCTGGCGAGGGGCCCAAACGCGGCAGCCTCGCTGTAGACGCACGCTGCGATTCTATTGGACAAGAAGCCAATTTATCACAGTGTGTGATTCAACAACAACAATATATATATATACACACAGTTCAAAGATTCTGCTCAGTGAAAAGGGGGTCTTTCATCTTCTTTGGAAATTATGTCAAAAAAAGCATGAATCCATTTGGATTGTTGGCCCCCAATATTTGTTTACCTGTCAGGAAACACTGATTTAATTTGATTCGCGCTAAAGTCATGACAGATATTTGCATCGTCTGATGTTATCTCAGCTAACGATCTCCTGCATTTCACCTGGGAGGGAACCTGCGGGTTCTGTTAAATCCATCCCAAGTGTGACATGAGCAAATCCAGCTTTCAACACCTCCACGTCCACACGTCCGGGGAGCGGAGACCTCTGCCTGATTGTCTGGTGACCTTGCTGCCTTCTTGATGACATGAGGGGATAATCCCAGACCTCAGCTCAGTTTCCAGGTCCTTAGGGTGTTCACCCTCACACATCACCCGAGGCTTCAGCGTCAACAGGAAGTAAGAAAGCAAAAAGCCACTTCACAAAGACAAAGGTCAGCAGACTCACATCTTATCAATATGTTGATTTCTTTCCCATAATGCTCCAGCTGCAGAGACCAAGTCCACACAAATGGCATTAAAAATGAATCCTTCATTGAATAATGAATGAAAAAGCCAAACAAACGCTTATAATGCATTAATGCGATTGCCAAATAACTACATGAGCTTAAGAAATCAACCCTAACAAAAGCACACCGTTATCATGTCTTACAGAAGCATTAAAGACCAGCAAACTGAAAACTAAATAATCTAAAATCTGGAAGCTGAGATTTTATTATGAGAGCTAAACCGCACGGGTTTTGCACACAGATCTGCTCTGGTAGCAGTGGAACGGGCCTGACCTTTGCCCTCCTCTCTCTGGCTTCCTACAGAAGGCCAGCACACCTAATTTAACACTCTGCGGAGCCGGAGCCATGCTCTCCACGCCCGCTCCGGCATGACCGCGGGCAGGAGTCTGACTCAGAGCTCCGGGGATTCACGCTAAAAGCATAACCCGCTCCCCCTCAATCATGCCGCACTCATATCACCTCACCCCA